ACGCCACGTGGGAATGCCTTCGAGATATTTCATGACATTCTGCTTTTCTGCAAGGTAAGTCGCGACACAGTCTCCTTGAACGGTGTTGAAGTTCACCATCTCAAACTGAGGCTGAAGACTCTGGACAAATGACACAAATCCGGGACATTCAACCATGTGAAGAGGGTAATCATGCATGATGATCATCTTGGCGATCTCACGGTGGCAACGGTCCTGATCGAATGGAATGTAGGGTGTGCTAGACGTCTGGTATTGTCTTCTCTGTGTGACATTCTCGAGTGTGTATGGTGACAGCTGATTATTCCCCTGGAGATGAAGGCGTGCTGGGCAAGTCCCGTTGTAGATGTGGCGCCTAAGATGACTGGTACCCAAGACTTTAAATCCATTACTGTAAGAAAATCTCCGTTTACACCCCTTGCAACATGCCATTCTGCATCCGGGACCTGCATCCTCAATGGTGAAGTGCTCCCACACCGTCGACTTCCTTTTCCGAGGCTTTCCCCCTCGTGTTTCTGGGGTTACCGTCCCATCATTATCGTAGATCTCATCAGATGTTTCCATATTTTCTGACAGATTCTTGCTCTGAAGTCCTCTGAAAGGAAAACGGAAACAGGACTCAATAGAAGCAAGACAAAAAGAACCAACCACATGAAAAACAATGTAGTACTTCTCCACAATCTGGGGATTAAACTAGGATCCTGAAAAAAACATACCAAGATGAGGAATAGCATAGCATCCCTGAACTAACTAAGTTAACACCATTTCTGAACTATAAATCAAGAACCTTGAGTTTTGATTCACAACAAAAAAAACAAGGAGAGTGGCAAACATCATTACAAAACACAACCAGAAAACTATTGAAAAATACGGAAACCCTTTTTTTTTTATTAGACTGGTGTATATTATTATTATGTATTTCGGTTCGATGCTACCATGAATTTCCAGATTGTGTTTTTTTTTTTCCCTGCAGGGGAAAATAATTGTTTACTACAATTATGGGCCTTGGGTCCATTTACGACCCGAAACAACTGGGCCTATAAGGAATCATTCAATTTAAATACCGATCCAGTAAATTTTTTTCAATTTCGAGTTTGCCTCCAAGACGAGTTGTAAATCTTTTCAAGCTTTTGCTCCCGAAGCACGAAATGAAACAGAGCAAACATGAAAATTTTACGAGTAGATATCGATAAACAAGGCCGACGACACGAGCTTAGACCTCCTACGTACGTACAGGAATCGTATAAGATCCGATTTATACACGAACTGTTCTCTAATCGAGCAAGGAAATAACTTAGCTCATCGAAATTTAAGATCTACAACCTCAGCGAAGGAGAAATTCGGGGTAACAAATCGAACATAAAACACCAGTAATCAAACTAAGGCGAAAACGAAGCTAGGGTTAGGGTTTCTGGAACTATACCTGCAAGAAGAAGACGGGAAGATCAAATTTAGATTCCGGAGGCAAAAATAGTATCTCCGGCACAGTGAAGATGGTGGGTAGGAGCCGATCTTGGAGTCCGCCGGTGGAGAGAGAGAGAGAGGGATTTGGGCTTGGGGATCCGAGAGGCTAATTGGACCTGAGAAGGAGAAAAACAAAAGAGGTCACTCGTCTAAAAACGGTTAGGCCTATGTTATGGTCTTATTGGGCTTTTCTATAGGCCCATTTAGTTGAAGCCCATGCTTTTTTAAGTCTGTTTTTTTGGATATATTTTTATTTTAATCTAAAATGTCGTTTTCAATCACGTGATTGAGGAGTTACTACTTACTAGCATGATTGATTACGCTGATTGAATAGTTTTATAAATATCTACGTCACTTAAAATGTGTATTTTTCTACAGATCTATAATAGAAAAATAACTTACGGAAAAAACAAATTGTCAATATGACACTGAAATTAAAATATGTAAATTGTTATATAATGAATTGAATAACCTTTTTTTCTCAGAGGACCAGATGCTCAAACTTTTTGGGATTATATAATATAGATATATATATATATATATATATATATATATATGTTGAACCTACAAAGAATAAACAATGGTGAGTTAAAAGGACGAGAAGACTAAAGTGGACCAAAAAGGAAGTCTTTATCAGGTAAAGACCGTATCTTCGTCTTCGCAACAACAATTCTGGAACAGAACAAACAACAAGCTTTAAAGCCATGTGAAAGACAGAGAGAATGGGGGGATGAGGGTGTTGTTGGTAATTCAAAGCTTCCGAACGAGGAGGAATATCCGCTGGTCGAGTTCAAAGTGAGAGATGTGAGCTGGATCTCCCTGAAGCATCATCAGCAGCCCTCCGTACGAAACGTATATCTCTCTGAAACCACAAAAGTTATATCCATCATGGGCTTTACTCATTGCACCGGAACTTCCGAAAACAAAACAAGAATTTTTTTTTTTTTTCGGGGTTTGGTTCGGGATTCTCACGCTCGGGGAGATTTGCCCTCCCGCTCCGAGATCTTGTATAGCTTCCCATGCATCACATACTCGTACTTATCCGCCAGCGATCTCTTCAATCCCTGGAGATGATCAGCGGAAAAACCTCAGTACTAGTTAATCTACACACACAAAGAAAGTGGATTATAAAACGTCTCTTTACCGGAGTATAATATCCGGTATCGGGGGTTCCGTCGAGGTTCAAAGTGTGAGCCAATGCCAATGTGAATTTCTCCCCCACAGCCATCGGATATATCTCTGTGTTGATATCTAAATGCATGAACATTTCCAAATTGTGACTCCTTGCTTCGATGCGAGTAACTGTAGTCACGGAGAGTGTTACTGCCACACTATAAATGATCCGAGAAGAAAGTGCTACCGCAAGTCACTTCACATAAACAAACTTCCGGACACTAAAAAACTTAAAGATCAGCCGTAGTTCCAAACGACATATTCACACGACGTTATAGCTCCAAAAAAATGTATTCAACTTTCATTTTGATGATAACTTTGATCTTGCTCTAAGCAACTTTGATCAATCAGCCGGTAGAGCTATGATCACCGATAGGGCAGCCCGGTGCACAAAGCTATGATCACCGACAAAGAAGAGATTTCCCCGACAACCCAAGAAGAATTTGAATCCCATTTTCCGAAACTACGCCAAGTTGCATAAGATAGACACATGTTGTTACAAACTATACACGAATCATACACTTCAGTTGCCTTGCATATATACCGCAAATCAGGATTTTTCGTATATTATAGGAATATCTATAGGAGCTGATGGTTCTATCTTCCACAGTATAGACTACACCAAAGTCAGAAAGGATATCTATTACGCTTGAGATCAATTCCACCGTGAAAACACACGAATAACCATGAAGGCGTAACGAACATTAAGAGCTTCAAATGATCAAACCTTTATCAAACTTTTTCCCATCAGGGTCCAACTTATCCACCACGAAAATATCCTCGAACATGATAATGCTACCCGCCATTGGCGGCGTATACCTGAGAAAAGGCACGGGAACAGAACGGGTACATAAAAACTAAGGCTTGAACTGGATTGAAATCTAAGAACTAAACATTGGTAGAAATAAACAAAAAAACAAAGCGCCCAATTAGACCATACAAAAATTTAGGGAAAAATTGGCGAAATCCAGAGGGAAAAACCCTCAAAGAATCCCAGAAGTAAAAGTACCAGAAGAAGGCGGAGGAGGAAGAAGAGAAGAGAAGAGAGAGAAAGAGACCAGGTTTGAAGATTCCACGCAAACGACAAGGAATCGAACAAAGGCGAAACTGAAGCTAGGGTTAGGGTTTATGGAAGTATACCTGAGAGAAGAAGAAGAAGAAGAAGACCAACGGAGTAAAACGAGAACGCAGAGTGAAATCAGAGAATCTCCGGCGCGAAGGACATGCGGATCTTTTGGGCTTTTATGGGCCTTTTTGTTAGACCCATTTAACTTCAAGCCCAAGGTTTTGTTCCCTTCCTCTTTTAAAGAAAAATGTTCTAATTTTATGTTGAAATTTAAATGTCGTTTCCGTCCAGGGTAATTGAGTAGATTACTGATAAGCTATCAAATACACTGCTTAAATTAACAGTGTTTGCTATCATAAAAAAAAAACATTCGAATTATAATTTAATAATCCATTGTCGTATTCCGGACAACTACAACCGTAAGCATAGGTGACTTACTCATCGACCATAATGAATGATCAATCAGCAAATAGGAAAGGGAATATTCCAACTTGGCTTTGCAGATTTTTACATGTGATGCGAGACGAAGCAAGCATTGTGTTCAACTCTCCAAGGATCTTGGAGAGTGGAGAAGAAGACGAAAGTGACCTGCTTCAGCAACCATGATGGATGATCTACACTTTCACGCGGTTGTCGATATTTGCCCATGGGGCTGACACCCGAAAATCAGGTGTTCATCCATCGGCGGGATGAAAAAGGGACCTTTCGAATTCAGTTTAAGGTGTCAATGTCATCCATCCACCGCAGACACCCGTCACTATGACTCGTCTAGGGTTAAAGGTTGGGTTCGAGGCAAGGGACGAGTTTGGCAGAACAAATTAATCATCTTAAACTCACATAGAGTTTAGAGTTAGGTCGCTCCTCTTGTCTCGCCGCCTCACCACCGACAGGGTAATCCCGGATATCCGAATGACATGGGTACAACAGGTTTCGAACTCCGGGACCCGAGAGAAATGGGTTCAGAGTCGGGTACTCCCGACCGTATCAAGCTCTAATTGCCTGGTTTCATCGCTGAGAATCTGAAGTGGATCATGTTATTGGGATTGGGTTAGGCTCACCAAACCTTGCGACCGGAACTGCTACATGTCTGAATAGTTCAGTCATAAAGCAGACAAAACCATTTGTCAAGAAGAAAACTAGTATAGCACCTTTGAGAGTTATGTATGAACCATCTTCTGCACTTCCATCACAATCATTTGACAAAACGGGAAAACTTGCCGGAGACAGAGACATTGACATCCATCGGAAGCAAAACTTTTTATTCCATCTACCCTTACTTTCTTTCTCCGTTATATGGCTACAAGGAAGGAAACCCTAAATCTCAAGCAGAAGAATACCAAGAAAAGCAAAAAGGAAAACTACAAAAGAAGTGGAATTTAACAACAGGGTTAGTTGGTTAGCATCATCTAATCTTGTATTATACAAGGAGATCGCCACCGGAATAAGTTTATGCAGGCGACGTTATTGGAGACGGTCCACTGAAGAAATTCAGATTTGCTCTTTGGCTCTCGAGTTCTTCTTCCCCCTCTTCATCTTCATCTCCATCTTCAGCATCCCACAGAAATCGAGCATATGATGCATGAACATAACTGTGGCAACAGAGGGAAACAAAAGCAAACAACTTTAGCAAAACCCTGATAGAAAAAAACATAACTTTGCAAAGGAATTAACGGGAGGAACACGGAAAGGCAAGGTGATTTGAACTCAGGTTTCAACAAGCAAGGAGCTTGTAAGGAACCCAAAAGACTCACCAATCATCAGGAGCAGCTTTCACAGCTTGGTGGAAGTATGTCTCGGCTCGAGATGAATCTCCATGGCTCTGCCATATCAATTCCCCATACATCGACAGAACATCCCCGTCTTTTGGATTGGCCAAAATAGCCCTCCCGCAATATTCCTCTGCTTTCAATAGATCTCCTCGAACCTGTTTCAATCACAACCGAAGAAATATTAACAACAGATTTTCATCTTTTCTCAAAGCCCATGACTTTAATGCAGTTCTTACTGAACATAGATCTCATTTCAGATTCAGAAACTACACCAGTAGAAGAAAAAAGGTATACCTCCTTCAAGAACTTTGCGTAATTGCTGAGAAGAAGCGCATTTCCAGGGTTTGCCGCAATCAACTTCTGGTAGTGAGCTTCTATGACATCATTTCCATGGTTCGGGTCCCACGAACCACAACCTCCGTCTCCATCACCACCGTTAGAACCGCCGTCGCCGTCGTAGATCTTCCCGCCGGCACCAGTGCCAACCAAAACCTCATAACCTTCCTCCGGAGCAGCACCCAACCCAAATCCGCACTCCAACGAAGACGCACGAAACAAACCGAACCCGATCCCTTCATCTCTCTTCTCCTCCACCAAAGCACCATTCGTAAACTTACTCGCCGGCGTTGTCTTCTCCGATAACTGCCGGAGATCACTCTCCGACATCGCCCTGCTCATCCTCCTCGCTGAATCGTCACTGGAGTGTACAGAGATAGGGCTGTAACAGCAGCACGGAGACGCCGACAGCATCACCGAGCGGGTCCGCGGAATATGATGAACGAATTCCGCATCGAAGGGAGATTCCCTAGGACTCAAGACATGAACTAAGGAATTCAGAACCGGCGTCGATGCACTTCGCAACAGCATTTTCTCCAATCGAGTAAAAAAAAAAACTCTCGAGTTTTCTCAGTTTGAACAAAGGAGTTTTCGTGTATTATATAGGCGAGAGAGGATGTGTCAAGGAAATGAAATCTGGACCGTTGATTGAGTTTTCGTCACGTGGGTTTTTTTGTTTATTAGTTCTTCAAGTTGGGCATTTAAATATGATTTTCATGTTGCATTATGGACTGTCCGCTGGTATTTTTCTTTTGTCGTTTATGAGATTTTTTTTTATCAGCGTTTCATGTCGTTTGTGATTTCACTAATCATTTTTTTCCCATTAGCTTTTTTTTCAGTCGCTTATGTAACAAAATATATCTAAAATAGAAGATGTAATAAATAGAGATGGTTTATTTCATTAATATCCGAATAATTTAAATCTAATAATATATAATTATAACTAAACTAAATCTGATATAAAAAAGTTGATTAATTATTATTTTTTAAAATCGAAAAAACAAATAAACAATAATTAAATTTTTTTTAAAAAAATAAATATATTTGTCAATAAAAACTAAAAACGAACGAAATATAGTCAAATTCAATATAAAAATCAAACGGTTATAATTTTTTAAAATAGAAATAATCGAATTTAAATAAAATGCAACCTAATTCTAACCAAAAAAACTAAATAATTAATCCCTTGTAACAAATGTACTAAATAATTGATCCCTTTATCAAAAACAAATGTACTAAATACAAGTTTAATATATAAAGATATCTTAAGATGGGTTAATACTCTTACTTCCGTTCGATCATATTTTTTTTAATATTAAACAATCAAAATAACTAAATCTATATAGGACGTAACTCTTGGATCAAGTTAATAACATCATACCTTTGGAACACTAGTTCTTGTATAGAAAAATAATAATAATAATAATAATAATACAAAGGTAAACGCTAGCCCCAAACGCAAACGTGAACGCCAAAAGATTTTTAGCGTTGGGCCAAACGCGAGGCCTTCAAGGCTTCAAGCAAGAAGACGATGATATTTCCAAGTGGACGGTCAAGACTCAAGGCCGAAGTACGCGGTACCCCAAACGGTGGGTCCCAGTCTTGAAATGTACGGCTCACAGATTCCATGTGCCCGGCGGCTGACATTCATTTGCCAAATGGAGCAGAGGTCCCCCGCTCCTCTAAGTCCTCTTCCAATAGGAATCATTCGCATTTAAATTTTGATTTTATTTTATTATACCAATTATAATAATATTGTTTTTATATTATTCAATTTTGATTGAATTTAAAGTTATTAGAATTTAAAACTAGATTAAGATTAATATATATATATATATATTATTTTTTAAAATATATTAATTTCATATATAAATTTTCATAAATATACTATTAAATCAGAATTAAAAACCTTAAAAAATATTGCTAAAACTATATGGATTTCAACTCATTTTCCAAGACAAAAACACCTAAACAATTGTACTCCAAGGCTTTCAAAAAAAAATGTATTTTTATGAGAAAAAAAAAAGCCCCACGAAAAGAGAAAAAGGATCTTTCAAGTCAGTCAACGTGCATGCATATGCTCAAGGAGCAGTAGAGCTTGTTGATTGGCCAATGTCACGTACATGTGGGGCCTACTTTTCGCATTATTGAGGTGGAGACTGGAGAGTGGGTACCGTGGAACGTGGAGCCCACTCGCCGAGGCTCAACGGTGGAGAAATGGTGATGTCGACTCCCTGAGAGGTCCAAATTTGCTTATTTTGATTTCATGATTATCACTTCGACTTGAATATTTGCATTAATATAGCAATTGTGATTTTGTATTGGAGGGAAACAAAAATTAACATATGCTATTTCTGAGTTTATAAGAAATTAATGTTTTTAGAAAGTGATGCAATGATCAAATTCTTAAAAATAATATATGTTGGGAAAAATATGTGATATTTTTTTTAACTGAATAGAAAAAGTTTTATGATCTGGATAGGATCCAAGAGAAAAAAAAAATATGAATATAAAGATTTAAAAAGTGATGGGTTTTTTTGTCACATCTACTTTGGCATGGTTATGAATGGATAAATGCAACGTAGCAATGCATACAATAATAAAGTTGATTATATGAAATGCCGACATCCATTTAGATCTATACATAACACAAGGACATTATATTATATTATTATTTTATAGAAAAAAAAACAGGGAATGGGCTGTCGTTGTTTTGTATGTCTTAAAAGGGCAACCCGATTCAAAAACTAATAATGGAAAAGGGAATCATTTCCAATTACTCGAATGGGAGAAAGGAAGTGATCTTCTAATTGATTTGGGAGATATCCGATCATGAATCCGTTTTTTTGAATAATGATCTGAACTCTTTCCAACCCAAATACAAAATTTGATATTTTGTACCATGGAACCTGGATTTGCCACCCGATTTATTGGTCGATTCATTTTGATTATATTCGAATTTGAGAAAACTATATCCATTTCAATCTTTATTTGATTCTGTTCCTATTTGAGTTCAGATCAACTTCAAATTTTATTGGTAAAAAAATATTCAACATCAACATTATCTTGGTCCCAAGTTTATCTAGGATACGGCGTCTTGGTATTTATTTAGGATCGACCGTATGAATTATTCGTTTCCACTCATTTTGATTTTCCAACCCTTCCATTTTCTCTTCACTTATTTTTTCAATTATTTTTTTATTCGATTCGGATTCAATTTTTTCTATAGTAGAGAAATCGTAACCATTAGAGAAATCGTAACCATTCGGACATCGAACACGAATCAATTATAGTTATATTTTATTTGATTTAGACCGACTCAATTATTAGGTTAATAACCAAATTCTCTTTTTACTAGAGGGCTCCATGACCCAAAGAAACTAAACAGCGAAGCCAAGAAACAAGAATCATGCCATCGAAACAGCTTACTAGATGTCATTTGATTATTTTGGTATTTTAAACCTTATAAAGTCTCTTTCAAATGCCCCCTAATGTAGTAGCATGTATATCAGCGACCGGAATTCCGAAAAATACCCAATTATGCTGTCCTAGGAACAACTTACGACGGATATAGAAGAGAAATACGAGAATTTCACCTGGGGAATTCAGGAGAAAACAGCGATCAGGACAGAGAAAGACTCGGGGAATTCAATGGGGAAAATGCTACTTGGATTGGATCTCGGGCGGGTATCGTGCTAATTCCCCTGTTTGAACAGAATGGATGCTAGACCGGCTCTCCAACCAAACACCGCCGTAGGCTGAGGCCTTCTCGACAGGAGTGATGCCAGACCAGCCGATACATTGTTACTCGGAAGCTCTGAGAGCCCCTGCTTGGCATTTGACTCCACCGACCTGTCGTGATATGAATATGATCAGCAAACATTATACAAGTGCTATTTCCTAATTCATCTCATCATGCTCAGTGACCTTGGTGGATAATAATATACAGTATACTCTTGTCAGGGAAGTAAGACCAACCCTAGCTGCTCTTCACAGGGATTATGTCGGTAAGGAAGGAGCGAAAAGAATCGCAGAAATACTTAGAACCCGAACACGATCTTCACAAAAATTCTAATAACTAAAGTCTGTCTTTGGACAATTTATAGAATGCAGATGATCATATAAAATCACCCACCATATGAAAAGCCTATGAATTAGGTTCTTTAACGTCACATCGATGATGCAAAGGCCCGGAATCTGGAACGGAGAAGGAGGCAATGAATGGATTCATCGAAGAAAGCGGGAAGGTAAGGAAGGGTGAAAGTTCACTTACGGAGGAGGTGAGATTCCTTCATGAGTAATGGAAGAGAATCCCTGCCTCTGCTTGTGCTTAGGGTTGGAAGAGCATAACACATATACACGCCCTCGACGTTTGACCGTCCTACAAAACTCGCACATCTTCTTCACTGACGATCTCACCTTCATTGTTCCTCCCCGAGCTGTATCAGAGATTCAGGAAAATGCCATCAGATGAATGAGAAACCCAACAAAAGTTCTTCCTGAATTCGGAAATGTTTTCCTCTCCTGATTAAAGGGTTCTCGGAGAATCATTGATTCGAAAATTCATTTCTCAGAAACAAAGGCTTATAGCTCAAAAGCAAGCAAAATCTCAAGCATCAACCTAAAGAATCCTCGGTGGGCTATCCCATTTCCTTCGACTTAGATTGAAATTCGGAGAAAAACTGCGAATAGACCCCTAGGCACAGAACCCTAATTGAATCCTGAACTTGACCCAGATGCGAAATCGAGAGAAAATCAAAATAAAACTCAAACAATAAAGTAGAAAACAGCAAGAAATTGAGATATCAAAGGAAGAATAAAACAGAAACAGATTGCTTGAACCTGCAACTCGAAGCCGGCAAATGGAGTCAGTGTTGTTCCCTGTGTCTGTGCCTCAGGCCAAGGGTTTCCGGAGTTCCGTTTCCTTTTTGTTTTGGGTTTAAATTGCTCTTTTTTTTCATGGGCTTTGACTTCTGGCCTAAAGGCCCATCAATGATAACTCATGGTGTATGGTTTCCTAATTAACGCACCAAAAATTAAATCTTTGTTTAACGAATTTAAATTAAAAAAATGCTGAATAGATTTCTAATGTTACATCGTTATCTCAAAATCAAATCGTTCTATAAAAAATTACTTGTTATAGGGGTTTGGACTTTATTTCATCTTAGGATCGAGAATACTAAAGTTTTATATAACTCTTCACATTCTCATTAAAAATAATGAGAATGGGTAATATCCCCAAGTATACCTTGTTTTTCTTTAATCTTAGGGCATAAACGCGTTTCTTTGAAATTTTTTTAATCCGTTGTGGTTAGGGTTCGGTTATTAACCGAATAACCGAGCCGAACTGAACCAAATAAGATATAATCGTATCCGAACCGAACCCTACATCAAAATCGAACGGTTATAATTTCTTTAAACCCAAAAAATTCGAAACTGAACCGAACCGAATAAAAAATAACCAAAAAAACCGATAATTTCTTTGAAAAAATGAAATTTTTACTGACACTGAATCGAATCCGAACCGAAAAATAATCGAAGCGAACCGAACCGAATTTTATATAAAAACCGAATGGTTATAGTTTTTCTATAACCGAAATAACTGAACCTGAATATAACTAAACCGAGTCTGAACCCAAACCCGAACCGAAACCCGAATTGACCACCCCTAGTTGTGGTTACCTCCTTTCAATCTTGTAAAGAACAAGATCTTTGTTAATAAAAATTACACGAGATTATTATATATATGTATATGTATATATATATAGTTATACGTATATGTATATATGTATATCTGCTTTTTTAAATTTTTTGTTATTCTTATTGTTCATTATTTTAATGTTTGCCACAGATTTAAGGGAATTGGATATCGTGCAGAGTTTGTAATATGGTAAAACAATTTTTGAATAATTTAGTTTTTATATGTCAATTTGATTATATTTTATATTATTTTTCGGAAAAATTTTAATATTTAATTTGGAAGATCTAAATGTTTAATATGTTAATCTCCAAGTTTGAGGGTTTTTTCCCACCATCATGGGCTTTGTGTCTATTTGGTCCAAACATACTCGGCCCAGCCCCACATATACGATTTATATGTTACTACGCTCGCGAAGTTTGCCTCTAAAACCCTAGATTCTTCCAGTCTCTCCAAAACCCTAGCTGCTCATCACTTCTTCAACTTCAGGCGGAGATGGTAATTAATTTCTATTTTCATCGTTCCTTGAAATTTTTGGGATTCTATTTTCGATTTCAGGGAATTTGGTTTCTGAGATTTCCGTTTTAATTTTTCGGCATTTTTGCTATGCAGACGTTGGAAACAGTAAACCCCAAGGCGTACCCGCTTGCGGATGCTCAGTTGACGATCACGATTCTCGATCTTGTTCAGCCGATACATTGTTACTCGGAAGCTCTGAGAGCCCCTGCTTGGCATTTGACTCCACCGACCTGTCGTGATATGAATATGATCAGCAAACATTATACAAGTGCTATTTCCTAATTCATCTCATCATGCTCAGTGACCTTGGTGGATAATAATATACAGTATACTCTTGTCAGGGAAGTAAGACCAACCCTAGCTGCTCTTCACAGGTGTTTCGGCCTGTTGTGATTGTAGACGAGATTGTTCTTCGTTGATTCTGTTTTGTTTATTTGGGGTCTTTGGGTTTTCAGCTACGAAGACATTGAACCGTGGGATTTCTGAGTTTGTGGTGATGGCTGCTGATACAGAGCCTCTCGAGATTCTGCTTCATCTTCCATTGCTTGCTGAGGACAAGGTTTGATCCCCTCTCCCATACCTGTTTCACTCGATTCGTTGTCCATAACAGTGATCTATTCCTTGAATTGTTTTTGCTGCTCATCTCATTTTCTAGTTATTGTTCTTCGTTGTCACCTGTTAGTAAGACTATTCAATGAAAGATTTATTTGGTGGATTTTATATACGTGAGATCAGTTGGCTGGTAGATATTGGTGATTACACATTGAGATGGTTGTAGGCCATCACGATGCTCGTGTCGCTGAAGCTTTAAGGAATTATTTTCTTTTTGTAAATATTAGTTTCTTTATGCAAAAAGAAAGTTCTTCCTGGAGTGTTAGGCAGATCTGAAGCTACTTCTTCTTGGTCCTTTTTCTGGGTTTGGCTTCAAGATGCTTTCTCTTGTAACATTTTGTTCAGTATTTTTCTGTATAGTTTAGTTGGTCTTTTTTCATAGCTGGACAGATTCCTTCGATTAACTGAATGCTTGCCTTTGGCTCTTTTGGATTTCCTAGTTTGAACCCTTTTTCTCCTCACTCTGAACCACTGCAGAATGTGCCGTATGTGTTTGTACCGTCGAAACAAGCACTTGGAAGGGCATGCGGTGTGACAAGACCGGTGATTGCTTGCTCGGTTACATCAAACGAAGCTAGCCAGTTGAAGTCACAAATTCAGCAGCTCAAGGTATTACTTTTTCCTCGCAACCTCCTAAAAGAGTTGATGTTCTAAAATCTCTTCTCATTCGAGGTGTGAAACTTTTTTGCAGGATGCCATAGAGAAGCTTCTGATATGAGATTATGAATGGTCGGTATGATGGGTCTCCTGATGATGGAAGGCTTTGACTGAAGTCTGTTGTGAAAGTAGCAAATGAAAACTCTCTCCCACATTTTTCTGTTGTTCCTCGAAAGATATTGTAGTGTGACTTTTTTCCCCCTTTTAAACACTGCAACTAAAGTCTTGAGTTCGGTGGTTTGGTTTTGTGGTGAAATATCATTGCGTTGCTTTTAAGATGGTACTTTAGCTTCTGCATGGGTCTTGTTGTTACTTACATAGCTTTGGTCCGTGGTTTTGTCGGGTGCACATTTCACGTTTCAGTGGGTCTGATTTGGTTATATTTAGACCCGGAAATTCTCAGAGCCAATGCCAAGAGTCTTGGAGATATGGAGATGTATCTTCTCTTTAACAAAGAAAACATTTCTGAAAAGGAATACAGCTGAAGCATTTCGTTTACAAGAAGACAATCCAAATCTACGTTGTATCTTCTCTAATGTTCAAAGCCAAATCCCTGAAAAATCCGGAAATCTTTACGACGTCAAACGTAAGTAAAGATTTTCAGTCACTTCCCCATTTTCGGACAACGCTTTCTTTAGCGGAGACATATCCGTACTCTTCCTTCTTCCATGTCTTGTCTGAATCACCATTGTCGCTTTCAGAAGCTTTTCTTCCCATGAGCTTTGATGTTAGAGAAGTAAAACCTTCTCGGGTTCCTCGTAAACCATACAACAACGGGTTGAACACAAGAGCGGCTAGCGTTTCTCCTTTCGCGACAATCATATACTGCAATCACCAAACAAATAATAACCGGTTTTCAGACAAAAAAGTTTCTCCTTTTGATCTCCTAAAGAACCATAATATCCATTTCTCATCTGCTAATATTCTCTATAAATCTTTCCGGGTTTTGTTTCAATGGTGTTTCTCTGCAATTGGATGGCTTGCCAAATTCATTTAGATGCTTTTTCAGTGTTCCATTCTCACTACCAATAGGACAAAAAAGCTTACCATGATAACGATGGCTAAGACAGTAAGGCCTGCCTGTTGGGTTTCGCTCCAGAAATGATCGCCATTGGACCAACCAAACCATCCGCCACCTCCAAACCAGCCTCCTCTTCCTCCACTTCCGTCTTTTCCGCCACCCGATTCTTCCCTTTGCTTGATCTCTTTGTTCCACATCTCGAATTCATTCTTCTTCCCACCAAGGGCACTTTCCAGTGCTTTACGTGCTTGTTCCTGCACCGTAAATTGACAGTTCAGCTAAATCTAACTCCATAACAATAGCCAACAGACCAGATAATGTTACTTTTCTCCATGTCTAAAGCTACACTGCTACTGAACCATGTAACAATCTTTAAGGTAGAATCTTCTGGATCAAGTCTTCTTTCTGTTTTACTACTGCTTCATAAGCTCTTCTCTAAGTAAACCAGAGGAAATTCTATCAGTTGGGATCCTGGGGAAGCCCCGATTTTCCATTTCTCGTATTTTAGAAATGACGGAAATGCCATTTATTTTGACAAGGGAAAGTGCTCGAAAAAGATGAAATATAACTTAAAACAGTATGGATAACGTTCAAAATGACATCTCAGTAAGCAAACTACTACCCAGATATGCAAAGGAGAACAAGTTTCCAGGAATCATTCTTGATTCTCCCAAGCTATAACACTACAATTGATATCGTGTAATCTTCTTGTTCTGGTAGTCTCTGCTGCTCATTGTGTATCATTTCTGGTTCTTATCTAGCAAAAATATCGAGAAAAACAAGGACCCGATTCTACACATGCTTTCAATGATGGCCACGAAAGATAAGCAGAGTTTTAGCAGGGAGTCCACAAGCTCCATTTGTAAAAATCCAATTTTACAACTAACCGCCGCATACCCATTCTTTTGAAGTTTTATCAGTACCGATTACGCAAATTACTAAAAACTATAGATTGTATCTTAAATTCAGAATCCATTAGCAACCTCTTATCAAGAAACAAATCAAGCTTGAACTCAAACTTAGAAAGCTATATATGCAAACCATAAAAGATCTATGATTCGAGCGTTAACATGACCTGATACATTAAACACTCAAAGGGCAGAATGATAAGTGTCTCACGTTGGAGAAAGAGAGGGATTTGGGACCAATATATAAAGAGGATCAAACTTTCACTCTTAAGGTAGCTTTTGTGGTGGAGTAAGGGCCCAAATTATATCAATTGGTATCAGAGCATAACTCTCTACTCTCCGGTGGACCTTTGACAGGCCGTTCTCCTGCGGACATGCGGTCGACTCGGCGGCTGTGGGACAGTCAGGAAAGGAACGGTCGGGGATGGGCAGAGAAGCTGCCAGCGACCGAGAACCCATCAGTGACCAGATTTGCCCCAGCGCTGTGGACGTCGCTGTCTAACGGGGGCGGATTGATAAGTGTACCATATTGGAGAAAGAGAGAGATTTGGGGCCAATATATAAAGAGAGGTTTAAACCTCACATTTTTAACCTAGCTTTTGTACTTGAATCAATTTATATTGGAATTGAAACTCGACATCTTAGAGGACTTGGGGAAGACACAGAAAAAGCCTCTAAAGCTAGTCACTATGCCTCCCCCTGTGTCAAGTGTTTTTTTTTTGTTCTCAAATCAATTCACAAAGTTGAAAACCCTAATCCATTGAGACGACTGCGAAACCATTCACCTAAAAACTTGAATATCTGAATCCTGGAACTAAAGGCATTAAAATCAACCAACCATCACCCGGAAGAAAAATCCCAGAAGCAAGCAAAAAGCCAAAGCAATTCACAATGAATGAACTCTTCCCCAGATTCTATACGCCCATCAAACTCCAAGTGAATATAAAATCAATACAAAGAATAAAGAGCCAATGGAGAAACAATCGACAGGCAAAAACGGAGACGTTTAGGAGGAGCTGACCTCTCTGTTGTTATTGGAGAAAAGGCAATAAAATCTGCCTTTGCAATTGACAATCTTTGTCTGGAGAAGGAAAGCCCAGTTCGAATCAAGGTTCCGACATCGGAGAATGTCGGAGAAGTGAAGGCCGGTGGATAGAGAACCAGGGTTTACGTGTAGCCCGAGAATGTGTCCCATCTCTCAGTATACCGCTCTCCTTCTGTCTTCCCGTCCTTATCCCTTTTTTTATTTGCTTATATGATATTGTATTTTAAAAAATAAAATTAAATGAACTTACAAACGAACAAATAAAAATTATCGTTTTATATTATCTCTACGTTCCGTTTAGATGATCTCTATTATAGAAAATGACACTTTACTACACCAACTTTACAAAATGAAACATTTTCCTACACGAATTTTTAATTTGACAAAAAACTACAATAAATTATCAGTACTAAATTGATACACGAACTACCCAATTTAACTGCAATTTCCTACACAATCTGAAAACGATATTAAATGTCCGTTAACCGCTGACGTGGTACGCCACGTGGCGGCTGACGTGGCACGCCACATAGATTTTTTGTCACATCAGCATGCCACGTCATATTTTTAAAAAATTCCAAAAAATTATGAATTTTTTTTTTTAAAAAAAAATTAAAATAAAATAAATAAACTGCAAAAAACAAATACATATATATTCATATCTATATACAAATAAAAATATAAATATATATACAAAATAAAAAACATACACATATATATACAAACATCTA